TAATGTGTTTCTTGAACAGATACTCCTCAGGTTTCTATACTCAGATTCATTCACTGAACCCAGATATTCTCAGACTGTTGGATCTCCTCAGTTTAACCCTCGAACAGGGTCAGGACAAAGTGTCATAAAATTTACAGTTCAATAAAAATAGGCACAGTTCTTTAGTACTCAAACATCCGCTGTTTAGTGGCACCTTGGCTGAACTGCCCTTTTCATTTTCTCAGAACTAGGGTCTTTTGGGTTTTTTCTGATAAAGCATAAAATTCCATTCAAAACTAAACATTTTTAAAGTTGCAGAAGGATGGGAATAATACAAACCCAATCCAAATAAAGTCAGAAAATCTTATAGGCGTGAAAAAAATAAAGCTTATAAAACTTGTTTCAACTACAAAGAGACAGCCTGCCAGCTTTGGTGAAGCTTTGTGTATTTACCAGTGAGAATCTTGGCCAGCAAATACTGATGTAACAGTGTTTCTAAGGGAAATATTTTGTTCTTGTTTAGAACACATAACTTAGTGATACTGCGATACAAACATTGATGAATGTTATTTTGTATAACTATTAGAACGAGCAGACAGAGAAAAAGAAAGTAACTACAAATTACTAACATGAGGTTGTCTCCATTCTCTCAGCACTTTCTTTAGGCCAATTTGCAACACTCTTAAAAAAAAAAAACTCTTTTAAAAAAGTGCTTCCTCGGCCAAATGTAGATTCCAGGAATCAGTATTTGCTGTAGTTTTACACTGTAATACATGCATGCTGCTAATATGCAATACTGAACTAAATGTACCACTTTAAATAACAGTGAAAGGATGGAAACAAAATTAAACATACACCTCTAATACAAAATGTAATATTCAAAGCAAAATTATACATGAGAGAAAAATGCATACACCCCAATAAGGGTTAATCAGTCAACCATGAGTGGAAGTACAGAAACAGTGCTTACCGTGAGCTGTCCTGTGCATTTCTGAACAGCAGGACAAGAACAACTGAGACCATCATTGAAGCATATTCAACTGCTGCACCCAGTCTCATCACAGTGACGTTATAAACATGTATGAAGTAAGTCTAGGTAAGTCTAGTCTTTCCAGATAGTAATTCATATACATGGCAATTAGACATAAAAAGACATCTGATAATAAATTACGCCACAATTTCTATGTCGTGTGCCCACATTTTAGCTAAAAAGCAAACAGAGCCAGCATAGATTACTTCTAATGCCTTTTAGCCACATTCAACTATTCCTTGGCAAGAAAGTGCTCCCCACATACAGCCCTTACCCAGGAAAAGAGGGACTGAAGAAGGTGTTATTTACCCTGGGTCAGCCAATGTAGCTGCCATTACTCAAGTTTAGACAACAGTTTAAATTACTAAGGAAATCTAAAATACTTCAATACAAATGGAAAACAGCATTTCATCACAATCCCATTTAATAGAACACATTATCAAAATTAGTTGATAGTAGAGCAAATTGTTTCAAATTGGAAAGCCACCTAAATTATTGCTCTTAAATTAACAAAAACTGCATTTTTGTCTATTAGCACTGAATTTTTTCAATCTTCTGTTCCAAGCTAAAAGGCAACAATGCCATAATCTCATGATACATCCCTTTTATTACCTTACTAGAAATTAGGTAATGACATAAACTTAAAACATTTGCATTTCTTAACCTAGAACCCAAATATCAGAAAACACACAAAATGTATTGATATTAATATTAAAATGGCATTTGAAGTTCATTGTTTTAATGGATACATACAAAATCTAGAAGACAAGGGAAATATCTTTTTAATAAGCTTGTACATATCACCTTAACAATAAAGAAATAATTTTTTAAATAATTTTGTTTACTAGTGTAAAAGCAGGATGTTTTTGTGAATGTCAATGATAACATTTCGGCCTTTGAAGTTTCAAATTATTTCACATGAGAAGGAATGTATCTGTCTTAATGTTTAATAGAAAAGTTAAAAGTCTAAATTTGTGCCAGTCACCTTAGGTTGCTTTTATTGCAAGTGACAAGAAACAGGCATCTCTAAAGAAGGAATTGTCTTATCTAAAGACAGAAATAGAAAGAGGCTATGGGAATCCTCCCCTGGAAGTCTCCATCTCTCTTCACTGACTAAAGAAGCCTATGGTGACCAGCTCAGATTTATACCACCTATAGGTTTAGATGGCTAACATCATGGGAAATTAATCCCATTCTTGACACCCTTCTCAAATAGCATTTGGGAAAAGTAAGCATAAAATACAGAAGATCAGAATTACCAATAAGTGTAAGAATCAAAATACACTGTCCCAGAAAAATTAAAAAAACAAGACCCTTTTGTGAAAATAGAAGGGGATCTGTAAATTTGAAATGTCATACAGCGTTTGATCTCCAAGCCAGGACAGACTCAGCCATTTCTAGAAGATTAAGAATATACAAGGACTATTTTCAGAATATGCTGACAAAGTAATATGCCTCTTCTGTGTATGAGTAAGCAGCAATTTTTAAAACCTTATAATTCAATGCAATAAGGACAGACATTCAGAGGCATGGCAAAAGACACATCTTATAACCCATTAAAGCTTCCCTTTCAAATTCCAAGTCCTTGCTCAAAAGCAAAGAAGAGGTCATAGACCTTTTCTTAGACTGGTTTTTTTTTTTTTTTTTTTTTCCCATTTTCAGGAATGATACCCCCATCTCACAGAAACTTTTGCAATGACACTCGGCTATAGCAAAACTGTGGGCAGAACAAGTCTGCCAAATTAATCAAAATTAAAATTCAAGAAAGCTGACATGTGAAGATGAGAGTTCCTTGCTCCTAAGTATTTCAAAACACAAGGAAGCCCCTCAATCACACATTCATAGAAGATAGAAGGCTACGTTGTGAATTCTCCCTGTACATTTGCCCAGTTTTTACGTGTTTACACTGGCATCCTCTTAAAGTATGGACTGTCTCAGAATGGCCACTTGCAAGCAACTGAACACAGAGCCTATAATGAAATTCTTAGGTCACTTTCTAAGTCTCATTGATCTCTAAAAAACCTTCAGGAAGACAGCTATTTCTATTGTGGATTACTGGAGCTCACCTGCAAGAGTTTGTACCTCATTATGGGGGCTTTTTTTCCCAAGCACAAAATGATACTAAAAATGTATTATTCTTGCCATGGATCAAGTGAAAAAGATGCTATTCTTAAACATCTAAAATCCCATCATGTGATTGTTCACATCACGTGAAACCTGGTGCTAATTCAAAGCTAAAAGATAATTTCACAGGCTTCAATGTGATTTTCATAGTTACAACCACAAGTCTTTAAATATAATTTAACACATCTTAGAACGCTTGCAAATTCTGCCATGTCTCATTTTTGCCAAAATTTAAGTAAAATACTAAACTGAATAACTAAATATTTCAAAAAAGAAAAAAATTACAAATTATTGTCATAACATAAAATAGCAGAATATTTCTGATTTTCCTTACCCATAAATACCCCCAAAATCATAAAATAACTGAGATTAGAAGGGACCTCAGAAGCTCATTGAATCTAAATCCCTGATCAAGCAGGGTCAGATGCAGCAGGCTGCTTGTCCATTTGGGTTTTGAGCATCTCCATGGATGGGGATTCTACAACCTCTTCAGGCAAGCCTCTCCAGTGTTTGACCATCCTCAAGATAAGGAAGTTTTTTATACTATTTTTCAATGAAAACATAATTTAATAATCTGTATGCAGTTTGTACCCACTGCCTGTCATCCTGTCACCAGGTGTCAATGAGAGAAGTCTAGCTCTGTCTTCTTTACATCCTCCCATCTGGTATTTACTGTGAGAATGAAATGTTACTTAGCATTTCACTGTTCAGGAGACAAGGATCTTAAGCCTAAATTAGTCCAACCAGTAACCATTTCATATCACCCAACCCACACGTCATGTTTGGTGCTATACAAAATCAGGCTACCATCTTCAGAATTCAGAAATTATGTATGTATGTATGAATTGTACAGTATCATGCCTGCACTATAAATCATGACTTGACACCTGCTTACTTGCTAGCCACTTATGACCATTTACTGGTTTTGGAGACCAGAATTTTAATTTACAAAGGACACAAAAGACAGCACTATCACAGCAAGAAATGCACAAGAAAACAGTAGTTCGCCACTAGGTAGTAAGTAAGGGTGCCTCGCACATTTTTTAACTCTTATAAATGGCAAAGCACTAAAAATATCTATAAGGTCTAAGACTGTTGTTCACCAAGGAATTTAAGCAGCAGAAACTAGCACAGCTGCTATCATGTGCTCTGGCACACTTTTGGCTGCTAATTCCCACTCACATCACCTTTTGTACCAGTGACAGCCCTTGGACAGCCATATGGGAGAAGGCTGGGATAAATTCAACTGAAAACAAAACCAAACAAATAAATGGCTATTTTCAGTCTGATCCATTCTCCAAATTTATTAACAGCTACACGTGCTGAGTGAGGGACAATGACAATATGGGGAGGAGAAAAGAAGCTGGCACTGCATCCTACACAGACGTGCTAGGTTGAAGTATTCACTGAACATTTAGGCTAAAGCTAAGCAGTGAACGCAAGCTACTCAGCGAGTAATATTGCATTCCTTAGGCACTGCACTCAGAATGAGATGGACTGGCCTCTGGAGATGCCTGCCCCTCTCCTGAGGGTAAGCAGAATCTGGAATGACTGAGATACAGCTAGCTAGTTTCTATTTATCTAAACTGACCATTCTATAGAAAAACAGATTTTGATTCAGGTTTTGATTCTTACAGCACTTCAATCCCATTAACAATTGCCATTTGGAAAAAAAAATTATAGCATAGCTTACCATCACACTAACACCAAAAGGGGATCTATTTTCTGCATGGTCCACAATTTTTTTCCTAAACCATATTTTACATCTATAAGCAATATGTTTCAGTGATGGGGTACTGTATTCCTCCCACAGGGCATATAAATCCAGAGCAGAAACATAGCCACAGTTCAGTTATAAATCACTTACATTTCTTCAGAGTCACTTTGTCACTTTGCTGTGCTGCGGGAAGGTCTTTTCCTTGTTGCTCAACTGGTCCTCCTTCCAGAAGTGTCTGTCACATCTATGGCAGATGAGGACAAAAGGTCCTTAACTTTCGCTTGAAGTTATCTAAGGGTAAAAAGAGAAAGTAACACAGTAAGTGCAAGCATCCATATTGTGTTTCATTGCAAGGTATTACAACCACCTCTTTAAAACATACTTCAGTGTCATCCTTACACACATGTATTGTACACCTAGGAAAGAATCCCACACGTTCCACATCTTTCTTTCTTTGTACGGGACATGGGAAGTAGTCACTACTCCTCCAGCAGTCACCTGCTTCACTTCTGAGATTCATAATAACAAGACTGTATTTCTTTGAAAAAGCAAGTGTACAAGTTAAAAGACTATTTCACATTATTGATTATTTATTTTGTACCACAAAGACACTGAATACTTTTGGCTGGGATCAAGCAGGAAATCACAATATGTTGAGCATAGGTTCACCATAAACCATCCTGCCTAGCCAGTTTGATAAACATTCTCATCTGAATCTTCTGTTAAACAAAACAGCTCTCTATTGCACTACATTTTAATGCTCAGAAACTGAGACCTGGGGCTTATTATAGATAGGTCTCATTGAAATTTCTTCATGAAAACGTAGAACTCACCATTCCATCACAGTCAAATCTATAAATTAAATGCTAAAAATTATTTAGAAAACAATAAATGACAAAGTGTAACGTAATTTGCCACTGTATTAACCCCTATATTGAAAAGCGTGCTCCCCTCTCGTCCAGCACAAAACACAAAAAGCCAGAACTAATTAGCACAGGTTCAGAATAGAAAAGATACAAGATCAAAGGCTTAAAACAGTTTCCATATATGAAGAAGAACTCAGTATGCCACCAATATCCAGACTGGAAAAAAGATGACTTAAGGAAGGGCATGATAGAAAACAACAGAAGTCTGAAGATGGAACACAGACATTGTATGTTCCCTATCCTCTGAACTCAAGAACTACCTCATAAAAGCCAGGTTCAGAAGAAAAATGGGAGTTTCTTCTCCACAAAAAAAAAGTGTGACAGAACTGTGAACTTCTTCCCAAGGATTCTGTTTATGCAAAGAGGTTATGTAAGTCAAGAGGAAGGTGGAGGTATCCTCAGAAATCTCTGCAGATAGATGACAGTCTAAGAGAACCACTGCGCTGAACCAGGATGACCAGTCCTATCTCCTTGTATATTCCCTTATGTTAGTGCTAACTCAACAAATTTTATACCCATTTTACACTGATCTATTCACTACTCACAGTAATGAGAATTACTGCATTAGGTACACACAGAGTCTAGACTTAGTTGCATTTGAAGTACAGGCTAGATCCTTTTGAACACCAAAGTGAAATCCCATGGTTCTCTGTACTTTATTATATGCTTAATAAATTTGATTGATTTTTCCAAAACACCATCACCACTGAAAAAAAAATCAAATCAAATGAGGCAGCAAAGTCTTACGGTGAAGTAGCAGTAGCCTTCCTCTCCCCAGTCCACAGTCCCAAAACAGCCAGGGCAGAGGGCTACAAAGCAAGGTTCTGCTTCTCAAGTTGTTCACTGGTCTCATGGGTTTGAGTCTAACTTCATCCATATGTTCCCACTCAGTTCAACACTTATATAAATGCAGGTCAGCCTCTCCATTTCCCAAGTTTCATCTCAAAGTAAACCTTAAAAATCATATATTCTGTATTCCAATATCTTCTCTTTTGCTTTAATCTCTAGGATACAGCAGTGTTTCTGATTTATTTTGGGTAAGTGCAGATCAATTAAAATTCCTTCAGGGAAGCCTTCTGAACCAGCAGAAAGTGAACGACTGTCATCAGGAACAAACACTTCTGCTGTCATAGACTGGCATGTCACACTTTTGAGAAAAAACGATGTTAATTAATTCTATCCTTACCTACCAGGTGTACCAAAGGAATACAACCAGTCCTTTCTGCTGTCTTACTAGACACAGATCTTGTGTCTGTGAACCAAGTATCCCTACATGAAGAGCTGTGCATTGGCACATTATATGAAGAAGCAGCCTGTACTAGCACAAAAAAAAAACATAGCAGGACAGAAATAACTTTGTTCAGACATCAGTATGCAACCAAAATCCCTTTTGCAAGATGCATGAATTAATACCCTCAAATATCACCCAAAACCCAGACATTTTCCAGTATATCTACACGCATACCTATTCATTAACACTCTTTTTAGACACTACAGTGAGGAATTTGTATAACTCATACTTTTTTGGCCAGTTTGAAATACTGGATCAAAGTATGTTTACTGTTCAATCAATTCCCATCTCTGAAAAAGAAGAGACTGCTACAATGTTTCCTGTTTGCTTCTGCAGCTTAAATGGCTTCACTGAGGATGAAAGGCAATTCACCATACAGTATGCTAGTGATCAAGGCTCATGCACCACTGGCCTATAGCAACTTTTTAGGCTACCTCTCCCTTCTACTCTTTGCCCAGCTTTTCTGTTTAGAATGTTAAGGGTAGGAATACAACCAGACAGCTCAAAAGGTATTCAAGGTCTGTTTGATACCCTTCACATCACTTTGATACTAACTATAAATCAGAGCAAACTCTACTAAACAAGAACCAAATGTTTTAGGATTGGTATATGAGAAAAGACAAGTTTCTTGAAAAATGACAAAATTTAGAGACATGGGTGCCAGGTATACTACAGAAGGTAAAATACTATTGCAGGATAAACCTATTGAAAACAATTTGATAGCAGGAATAACAATTCAAAATTATCATCACCACTACTTAAATACCAAGAAAAAAACACATGAGAACAGGTGGCTACCTACTGATTGTCACATAAAAGCGTTGATTTTTACTCTTTCCACATGTGGCTTCCAGTTACCATGAACAAGTTTACAAAATCTTCCCAGGAGTATCATCTTGAGTCTCTCAAACAAGTGCACATAAAAGGGAAAAAGTTGATATGCAATTATACTTATCAAGCATTAGAAATCAACAGCAACCTCAAAAAATTGTGTCAACTACAAATGCTTTCTTTTGAACCATTTGTTATATAATCTCACTTGAAGGTTAAATAAGCATTCATGCCTGCTTTAAAAATTTATTACATATATTCCTTAATTCAATTATACCTGGTAGAAATCCACTCATATCAAAGATACATTAATAAGTTTTTACATGACGAATTTCTTAGATTATGTTCTTTTTATTTCTGAAACAGCACAGTGATACAATTAACCTGCAATTTTAAAGACTCGAATTTAATTCAGTGTACACACATATTAATTTGGGATATTAAAAGCTACACTTGTGTGCAGGCTCACGCCATTCCCATAAATTACCTAAGACACAAAGTAAAAGCTACATATCATAACGTGATCTTATTAGCATAACAGTTACAGGACTTTTTTGGCAATTCACAGATATACAGCTGCATTACAAAGCCATCCCAAATAAGTGCTGATAAAATACTTTATCTGTTGCATATTTTTAGAGTTTTAGAGTTGCTAAAGAAAAATGCATTAGAGAAAAAAAGTATTTGAGGACTACACAAGGAAGTTTCTTAATTCTTTTGGGATTAATATGATACAAAATTTCATTTTTGTAGATAAGCATCCTATTAATTTTACTTCCAATACCTACAGCATATTTGATGTAACTAAGTAAAAAACTAGAGTAGAATGTGACTTGACATCATAGTATATAAAATCAAGGATTGGATTGGAGTTTTGATTTTGTTTTGCTTTAAGATTGAACAATATTTACTCTCATTTCTAATTATATAGATTGCCTAATGCAGTATTGCAATCATGTGCCCTTAGAACCATGTTTATCTAAAAGTCTTTACCCAGATATCTCAAAAAACATGAATTTACCAAAATAATTACTGCTTTGCTAATAAATGCCAAAAATATTTTCAAGAAAGATGTATTAAAACAGGGACAAAAGAAATAAATATATCTGTATTGAAATCCCTTCCAGCTGATCTGTGGTATCATTGTCCTGATCTGGAAACAAGACAAACATTGAGTTAGCAGTACTTCCCTTCTCCTACATAACAAAATAAAAGGAAGGTAGGACAAATTAGGTATCTACAGATAAAAGGGTCTTTCTACTGTGCATCACTGCTATGAAGATAATCAAAAATCTTTCTTATGTTTTTATACAGATGTCCTGTAGGACCTGAAAAGGCATCCTAGAATTAGTAATATTTTAAAATCTATTCCTCTCCATCAGTTGTATACCAAATTCTTCAAATCTTCTGGATTTGGCTTATCATTAAGATTTAGAGAAAAATTCCTCATTTCTCTTGCAGATTTAGTCAATACTTACTGAAAATATATTGACCAGAAATACAACCTTAAATTGAATTGCAAGAGGACAGAATGGCATGAAAGCAAAATAAAGACTTATGTCTAAATAATTCCTTGCATGGCTACCTGTCCATCATCCCAAAGGAAATTATACATATGAGATGGATGAGAGAAGACACAAGCTGACTAGTTCTACCAGGCAATCCACCAACCAAGATGTAATGCTGGATTTGGGACAAACACATGTAATTCTTGACAAATGGCTGTTAAACTAAAATCCAAGCTTGGGAATGTTCAACAGATAGGGGTAAATTTGTATAGTTCTTCTTGTGGCAAATATGTCTGGGAATATTTTACTCCAGTCATCACCAGTGGGAAAAGTGCCTCCTTTCTCCCATATTCCTTCCAGCTCTATCTGTCCTTCTCTTTCTAACTTTAGGCTGTCATTCAGCACAGGGACATGCAGCAGGAGCTGAAGAAATGAATGTTGAGCAGTTCAGTGTGGCTCCAGACAGGGAGCATCACACGCAATTCAGCCCATCAGGGTTATGCAATCAACACCAACACCAATGTGATGGTAGCAGAAATTCAAGTTTGGTTTTTAATCCACCTCATTGCTAACTAGTTTGGACCCCTGTCACTTGAGAGAAGGCTACTCATTAATGTCCAGTACTGTTTTGGTGCTGCAGCACTCCTATAATACTGGCAGGGCTGTAAAAGGTTTTTGTAGAGAGAAAGATGTGAGAAATTCCGTAAAATTCCATTTGTCTTTTTTTCCCTCTAT